CTTTAGTTGGAACTATTCCATGCCCCCTGCTATAGTCTCAAAGCTCGTTTCCCAAAATTCCTATGTTGAAACCTAATTACCAATGTGGTATTAGGTGGTAGAGCCTTTAAGACATGATTAGATCATGAAAGTAGAGCTCTCATGATTAGTAAGGGATTAGTGCCCTTACAAAAGAGGCCTCAGAAAGCCATCTTGCCCATTCTGCCATGTGAGGAATGCCCAAGAACACATGAACCAGGCAACAGATTTTCACTGGGCCCTGAATCTGCTCGCATCTTGACCTTAGATTTCCCAGCTTCCCTGTTAGGCTAATGTAATTAACAGTAATAAATTCACCTACTGAAAACTACTTTTTGTCAGATGCTTGGTATAGTTATCTAAGTCTCCTTAACAAACCTATGACATATCAATCATACCAATTTTGCAAATGAAGAAGAGACGCAGAAAAATTAAATAACTTGCCTAAGAACATGTGGCTAATAAGTGGCCGAACCAGGAGCCCTGTCTGAACAACTGAATTTCCCAGTCCTTGATAGTCACGGTGCTTTGCTGTCACCATGGAGAGCAATACTACATTATAAACAGGACTTTATGCTCCTTCTTTTCCTTGCTTTTCTCCCTTCCCTTGGTTCCTATTTCCACTTGAGATTACTCTCCAGTATCCAAAAGTAAATTATTTCTTTGCCACCTGCTACTAAGATTAGAGCCCAACGCTATGCTAATCAGATCTTAAAAGAATGGAAATACATGCTTTAAAAATTCTGCTACCCAATTCCATCTTGGTTGTGGGTATGTTAGCAGACATTACTGCTTGGGCAGTAAATACCATAATGTTATTCAGATTAAGGAATAAACTTTTCTTGCAGATACTTGCAGTCTCTGCACCCCTATAATTAAGCATGTGAACTTTTAAATAAAGTTATACTGAGCACAATGTTTTTCCATGCTGCTGTAAACCATAACATAGTAGTGTTGCTTTTAGCACTGCCTCAGCCTAATTTATTACACCAATGATTTTACGTTAATCTATGATAAAGTTGTTTTTCCCACTTTTTTTTCATTCGTCAATCTTGTTCATGGTTGTTCATGTGGTTGAAATCCTTCTAAGTTCAAAAAACAGATGGATACTATATTAAAATCTTTTTTGTAGCTTCAGAATTACATTAGCCTCTTTTATACAAAATCATCCCAATGCTCCCAAATGTAAATTTTTCAGGTAACTGAAATATACACCTTGACTTTTGATAGAAAATCTGACAAGTTTATTCCTTGCTGTACTATTTGGCAGTGTAGTATAAATTCACCTGCCTTGGCTGACAGTTACTACGATGAACCTATATTATGCATATGTACATATAACTTGTAATATAACCATGCACTTAGAGCTTTGCTAGACAACCTATCTACCCATCTACTATACAGGCTTCAGAGTATCTGCCAACGGGCCAGCTTAGTTCCCTTTCTGCCTAACAGTCTACAGCTCTCCCTGCCCTGTTAGCTGTGCCTATGAGCTTGGAAATGAGCTCACTGAAGTCATTACAGTAATGTATTCATTACATTGTAGGTTCTTCATGAGATTGTAAGGCTCTCCCAGGAGGAAACAGTTTTTGCTTTCAGACTTTGTAGCATCTTTGTGTCTATATTGCTTCAAAGTGTTTCTGTGAGCTTAAATAATGTTTTAATTATGTTTCCATTTTTAGATCTTCTTACAATTTCCTAACATTTACTGCTTAAAAATATTTAAGTAAAAAGTACCTCTAAATCAAAATTTAATTTCCATAAATGTCTAGAGCAATGGCTACAAATTAACATGTAACCTGAATTGGTATTTGGTGGAATATTCAGAGAAATGGTGACCAGATCTTAATACCAGGAATTAAGAAGGGTTGCCAACACTTTTCTAGTGAGAAGTATTTAACTTTCCATTGTTCACTGTGATAAGGTTGATAGTTCAAACAATTTATTGCTGCTTTATAGTTTACATGATTAAATGAAACATGTTGAACTCAAGGGAATTTTAATAGGTTACTTGCAATTGTTATTGCAGGCAACAACTTGTACATGATTTTATTTCCAAATCCACAAAAAACAAATTTTATACAAATCAGCACTGTAAAAATGTCAATTACAGCCCCAGAGGCTTTGCTGGCAGAGTAATTGTCTAAATTCTAGGCATGGGAAACAGGTTTTTTTTTTTTTTTTTTTTCTGGATTCACCTTTTTTTTTTTTCCATTTTCTTTTTTACAAAAAATTTACAAGTGAAATGTTACTACGAAACTTTTTATAAGGAATTTTTGCAAAACATTTACATTTTACCATCAACTATTTCTGTTTTAAAATCATCATGTAGATTTAATACCCTATGCTGCACATCAATTTATGTGGGATGACAACTTAGTGACATGCATAAAAAAACACCACAAGGCATTAAAATGGAGACTTAAATACAAATATTGTTGCAATAAAACAGTTATAAAATTGAAAAATAGGACCTAAACATCATGCTTATCTAAGTTTGACAAATTAACTTTTTCTCCTAGATTACACACTTTTATTACTGCTCTCGTGAGAGTGTGATAAATAATGACTTAACATCAAGTTCTAATGTAATCAGCAACACATACACAAACCTAACCAAAAAAAGTATATTGGAAGGAAAAGCTATTCTAACACTGGAGTTCTACATGATAAATACAGAGCTTTGCACTGATAATTACAATAAAGAAAAGCTTTATAATGGTGGCAAAGGGAATGAACAGTGAAATGCCATTAAACAAGACTCTACTGCACATCTGTGCCCTATTACTTATAACAGCTATATTCCACTGTGTCAAATAAAGGACACTGAAATTTACGATTCTTGTAAGACAGCAAAGTAGACTCAAAATGGTATGCAGAACAGACTGTCAAAACAGTTCTAATTTCAGGGGTGAAATGTGCACCTGCTAACACAAATTAATATATTTTATATGCTATAAAGCTATCCAGATTCAGTTTGATAAATTTCTAATAGGCCTTATTGTTGATTAAAAAATAACTTCTATTTCTGATGAGCATACATGGGTTTGCATTAAACCAGGTTCATGGAACAACAATGCAGAGTGCTCATACTTGGTATTAAGAACAACAAAAAGTATCACTCTGAGGAAACATGATTAAAACGTTAAGAAAGTTTCCTTGCATAAAAAAATTTATAGCACTGATTGTGTAGCATAATGATAGATAAAATATATATTTGATGTTTCAGCTCCTATATAATAAAATTAAAATTAACACTACTAAATGCTCCTCTGTAACAAACAAAACAACAGATTCTGATGTTTTAAAGCCAGATACATCAGTTGTTAAGAGTACATTAAATAAAATATACAAAACAATTTACAAAATCCAACTAAAATTTAAAGACTTTGTTACAAGTCTACAAAAGCTTTAAGAAACTTGAAATTTATAACCACAGTGTAAAAATTTTTTTCCTTTAATCTCAAAGCTTTTTTATACAAACTGAAAGCACAAAAGACCTTCAGTTTTATATAACGCTACAAAGGGCTGGCCTAAAGTGTACATAGTGTAAACAGTGATCATTACAGTATTTCTCCTTCATCAAAAATATAAAACATCACAATTTTGGAAGAGAATTCTCATGAGTAGTACTTTTCCTGAAATGATAGAGAATGCACAAGAAAACAGGTACCTATATTCAAATAGTCCCCAAACCAGTAATGTTAGCAAACAAAGCAGTTAAAAACTGTAGTTTTCAAATGGTTAATTTCATTAATTATGATTCTGTGTAAATAGTTTTTAAAAACATGAAGCATTTTACTAATGTTTAAGCTACTGGAATAATCCAATTTTTTTTCATATGAAACTTTTGGCCATCTTTCCTAATAAGACACTTTTCTATAAGACCCTTACATAAACAATGAAATATATTTTTTCTTTAGTCACTATTTGAATGAAAAGTATTGTGGTTTTTCAAAAATAAGTTTTGCTTCATAATACCATATCTATTATATATTTGTTAGGCCATCTAGATTTTTAGGGAAAATTCTGTTATTGGTGTAACATAAAGACATTACTGAGATTTGAATTCCTAGTTAACCTTCTAACATAATATTAGAAATAAACTGGGACTGGCCAATTTTTTAATAAAGGAAAAAAAAATTACGAAGTAGCTTAAAATATTCTGCTGGCCTCAAAGTGTAATAATTCTTTCTTTGGCTACAAAGTCAAAGCATAAAGAATTCTGCACATTGTCAACATAACTCATATTTACAGAATATGAAACTACAAAATGATTTATAATCTATGCAATTATTTCCAATATAAACATTTAAAATGAAGTTTTGTAGTTCAACCTATGGTTAGGAATATAATCAATTCTAAATTTAAAACATTGCATGTTAAGTTGCTTCATTCTATTTTTCTGAAGCTAACATGAGTTCTATTTTAACAATTTTTTTCCCCAGCGTTTTCCTAAGGTTTCAATCTAAAATTTAACCTAAGATTTAGATCTAAGTTCTTCTTGTGTCTCCAAAATGGAGAAAGTAATTGGATTTCACTGATTGTCTGCATACACACTACTATAATGTAGTGGTAAAAAAGATCTGAGATGCATCTCAGATTACTGTTTTGGAACTTACCTAATTCAACTTTTGAAGAATTTCTAACATTTAGAAAAGACGGCCAAAACTATTTTGAGTTGATTTTCCAAAAATCAAGTTAAGGAAATAATGTATTATTCCTATTATCAGTTAACTATCCGTTTTCTGTGCTATAGAGAAAAAGAAATATACGTAAATTATTACTGACTGAATTTGTAAGAAAGTACTTCCAAAGAAAGTAAGTCCAATTAAGGTCCAGTCTGCAAACTACTGAGATTTGTCTTTTTAAACATGTTAACACATGATGTTAAGAGAGGGGGAGATTCCAGTAACTACAACTTATAGCATGGAGGAAATACTTTTGTGTTTCCAGTATATCAGTTTACTTTTTGTATTTTTAAAATTCAACACTTCAAGTGTTGAACCCAAACCCTGGAATACTTAAAGAAGCCAAGAATGAAACATGATTTCCTACTCTGTAATCCACTTGACCAGCCCATTTCCAGATTTTCAAAGGTTTGTAAACTTAAGTGCAGCACTAGAGGTCTCTGTTACAAATAACTTTTTAGAATTCTTCCATATTGGTTGAAACATTGGGAGTTGCTGGATTTGAATCTTGAGAAATGGCTGCAACTGTGACAATTCTTGGGGAGCCAAGCACCTCAGTAACAGACGAGTCCAGTTCCCCCGAGGTAACAATGGCAAGAGCTGTCCCACCTCCTTTCTTATTCTGATGCGTTTTCACATGCTTGGAGAGATGATCACTCCGCATAAACCTTTTAGAACACTCTGGACATTCAAATCTCTTTTCACCTGTAAAGAAAAACAACAAATGAAGTTATACATATTTTACATAAATGGAATAATAATCTTTTTCTGGTCACATTATACTTTTAGTATGGTATGATTTTTTGCATAGTTTGACATATAGTATTTTCTTTCTATTTTACTTAACAATGCTATCAAACAAACAGTAGAGTATAGGAGAAAAGATGTAGTTGAGAATGAAGTCCTGGTTCTGCTATAAACTGGAAATGAAAGCTGGAACAAGTTAAATAACCACTCTGGGCCTCAATTTCCCCATCCACAAAATAAAAGGATTCCCAACAGATGATCTTGAAAACCTCTACCAACTGTAACAATATCTGTACTTCTTTAAAACTGGTAACTGGGTTTCAGTTTTAATCTCCAGAGGCATGGCATATTTTAAAACTATTTTAAATTAAGAATTTAATGCTGTTTTTCACAAGGCAAAAATGGAAGGGAGGAACATACTACACTTCAAATTTAATACAGATTTTAGGTTCTATAGAATAACACTGTTACTTTCTGTTATACAAAGTGATTCTTAAATATGTTCTCTTCAAAATATAAGATGGTCCTAGTGGAACTACTTCTATGCTTTGGAATAAAAATTGTTAACTAAAACAATTTTGAGTGTAACAGATGTGGTACATGAAAATTTGTGCCTCGTTTGGTATATCCTGATGTTCATAATGGGTAACTATTAGCTTTAGTCTTTCTTTCTAAAAGTGTTATGGGAATGAGATGATGTTTTCCTAGTATGATAACAATTTGGGTAATAAGAAAATTCACTGTGACTGATTTTTTTTTTTCTGGTTCTGCCTTTGACTTACCAAGAGAAAAATCTGTGACTTCAAGTTTGTCCATTTCAGGTTTTTCCCTTTCCATATGTTTGCTTTAATTTTTTAAAAAATTGCATTTGTACTACCTTGCAGAACTTTTCTTTTTCTTTCATAGTCTTGAAAAATTAAAAGATAAATAAATGCTTTAGGTGAAATTCTCAAAGGCATTCAAAAGGCAGGCAGTAAGTCTCTAAGGAAAGGACTTGACTACTGTGAATGCTGGCACTTGGGTAAGGGTGAAAATGAGGTGCAGTTGAGGATCAATCATGAACTTGACCTTCTCAACTTCCCCATTCTATTTTAAAAGAAAAATTCTCAGTTTACAAATTTTCAAGTTGCAGAATTCTTGAACAGCTTCCATTTGCTTGAGATAGTTACCTTTAACCATGTAGCGCTATCAATCCCAATTAAGAAGTAAAGAATTTCAGGGCTGGAAGTGTGGTAGAGTGCTGGATTGTTACCAGTGTGTGTGGGGGGAGAAGAGGGGAATGGGTGTAGGAGGGTGACTATGGTGCAAATATTGTGTTACACATATGCTAAACAGAAAAATGAAACCTGATGAAAGTATTCCAGGAATTGGAGGGGGGTAGGGTTGAATTCAACTGTGTTATATTGTAAAAACTTTTATAAATGCCACAATGTACCCCTGGCACAACAATAATAATAATAAAAAGAAAGAAAAAAAGAAAAGAAATTTCTATTCCCCAGCAATTCTTTGACAAAATAAATGGTGGCATGATTAATGTGTGGACTTCCAAACCTGTCTACTTGTAAGTGGGTGTGGGCATCCAATTAATTTAAGCAATAAAAGGTGGCTAGCATCTCAAATATCCAAATTATAGTGTACATTATACTTTCATTAGGGGAATGACTCATTTCAGTATGTTATCCACAGAGAAGTGTATTTTCTGTTGTGTTAGATAATTTCTAATTTTTCCATCATTAGCAAACATCAGTATACTTTACCCCAAGGCTGTAAGGAGTGTTTATACTAGCTATATGTTATTTTTTTTATAGTTAGAATTATTTTAATTATTTTATAATTATTCAGAATACATGATTGCTTTTTATAATTAAAGTATCTAATTATTAAAACTGTTGATGTATTTAACAACTGTGATATGCAGGATGGCCCAACAAAGATGTCCATGCCCCACTTCCTGGAAGTTGTAAATAAATTATGTTTACATGGTGACAGGGACCTTGCAGATGTGCCCAAGGTTATGGAACTTAGATACGGAAATTCTTCTGAATATCTACATGGACCCAATCTAATCAGGTGAGCTATTCAAACAGAGCTTTCTGTAGCTGGAGTCAGAGACAAGAAGTGTGGGAGGGCCTGACCTGCATTGCTGGAGGTAGCCACATGGCAAGAGTAAGAATACAAGCAATCTTCAAGAGCAAACACTGGCCCCCAGTTGGCAGCCAGCAAGAAAACATCAAAGAGCTGAATTTAACTTACATTGTGAATAGGTTTGGAATCAGATTCTTCCCCATAACCTACAGGAGAGAATGCAGACCTACTGAAACCTTGATTTCTGCTCTGTGAGAAGCTGAACAGGGTACTTGGGAGGAGCCCAGGTGGACTTCTGAAGACAGCCTGAAATAATATGGTATTTTAAGCTGCTGAATGTCATATTCTGTTCAATTCAGTTTGCTGATAATTTTTATAAAAGCAGACACAAACCCTTGCCAAATATTTACTGTATGTTTAAGTAATCCTGATTTTTTCTTCTTAAATCATTAATTTGGTAAATCAGACTGCCTGATTGATTTTCAAATGTTCAAACAGCCTTTCATTCCTGGTACAAACTCTTATCTAGTTCTGATACTTTTTATATTCTGCTGGATTTAATTTGCCAATATTCTGTTGAGAATTTTGACATACTTATGATATTAGTTTGTACTGTCTTTTTTTTCTAATAGTATCACTGTCTGGTTTTGTTATGATAATTGAGCCTCACACAATGAGTTGGGAAGTGTTCCCTCATTAATTTTCAAAAACAGATTATGCAGAACTAGTATTTCTTCCTCGAATGGTATAATTTGACAATGATAATATGTGGGCCAAGTGTTTTCTTTGTTGAAAATTTTAACTACAAATTTTTAACAGATACAGGACTATTCATGTTATCTATTTCTTCCTCTATTTTTCAATTTAAATAAACTTAGAATGGGATAGTTAGGCCTCACTAACCACACTGAAATTGTATGCTACTTTATTTTTTGTGGTGCTAGGGAGCAAACCCAGGGCCTTGTGTATGCTAGCTAGGCAAACACTCTACCACTAGTATACCCTGAACTCGTAACCATTTCTTCATGAGCAAGTATTAGTTGTGAGCATCATTTAAGGAGGTGGCTCTCAAAGTCTGGAAGTAGTTATACATAGCATTCCTTTATTGCCCATTTAATGTCTGAGGCTCTTTAGTGATGCTGGTAAATTTTCCTGGCCAGTCTGGGTAGAGTACTTACCAGTTTTATCTTTTCATCAAGCCAGATTTTGGTTTGAAGGGTCTGGGTACAACGTACCTCAGTGGTACAGTGTACCTCAGTGTACAGCACTTGTCTAGCATGTGTGACCTCATAAGTTCAATCCCTAGCACTACAAAACAATAACCAACCAAACAATAAGAAACAAACAACCCTTGCCCCTACACATAGATCTCAGTTTGATTAATTTTTTCTACTGTTTTCCTATTTTGAACTAATTTCTGTTCTTATCTTTATTATTTCTTAACTCATTTTGGAATTAATTTGTTCTTCATTTTCTTGTTTACCAAGATGAAAGGTTACTAGATTCTTGACTAAAGACCTTTTTTGTCTTTACTAGTAAAAGGATTTAATGTTACAAATGCATTCTAGCATTACTTTACCTGCATCTTACAAGTTTAATTATGTTGTGTTTTCATTCGGTTGAAGATATTTTCTAATTTCCCTGGAGACTTCCTCTTGACCTATAGAATATTCAGAAATGTTTAATCCCCAAATATTTGGAGATTGTCCAGATATTTTTAATTTCTAGTTTATTTCAATTATGATCTGAGAACATACTTTCTCATGACTTTTATTCTTTTAATTGTTAAAGTGTTTCATAGCCTAGAATATGGTTTTCCTCTGTGAGTTTTCCATGTATTTCTGAGTAAAATGCATATTCTGCTGGAATAGCTTTAAAGTAAGTTTTTATGTATACAACATATAGTTTGGTCTTTTTTTAAATGTCACCTGACAATCACACCCTTTTAATTAGTATGCTCAGACCATTTTCATTTCATATAATTATTGATTTGACTAATGCTAAGTCTATCATCTTACCTTTTTTCAATTTCGGCCCTTTTTATTCTTCTGTTTCCTCTTTTCTTTTGGATTATTTTAATATTGTTTGATAATCCAATTTAATTGATAAAATTAGCAAATTATGTACTAGTTTATCAGATATAGGACTGATATGTGAGCTACATTTTTAATTTTTATGATTTGCTCTTTCTAGTAACATTTATTTTTACCATGAAGAACTTTTTTAGCATTTCTTTTGGAGTAAATCTGATGGCAACAAATTCTCTTAAGTCTTGCTTCACCTGAAAATACCTTTGTTTTGATTTGGTTACTGAGGATATTGTTGTTGGATATGAAGTGATGAGTTCATTGTTTCCTCTTTCAGGCTTCTATAGTTTCTGAGAAGAAATCTGCCAGCATTCAAGTTTTTGTTCCCTCATATATAAATGTGTCACTTTCTTTTGTCTCCTTTCAAGTTTTTTTTCTTTATTAGTGATTTTCAGCAGACTGATTATGAGCTATGTCTGGGCCTGGTTTTCTTTTAGTTCCCATTTGAGATTCAAGAAGCTTCCTAAATCTATTAAATTTATACCTAATGTGGGCAGTCTCAGCCATTGTATCTTCAAATTTTTTCCCACACATTTTCTCCTTTCCTTATGGAAGCCCAATGACACAAATTTTAGATTTTATATGCTATCTCAAAGATCCAGTTAATTTTCTACTGCCTCAATCTTTTTCCTATTTTTCAGATTTTATAATTTCATTTAAAAAAAACCACTACTTTTTAATTGTAAATTGACAAATTATAGCTGTATGTATTTTACATTTTTAAAATTTATTTAATTTATTTTTGAAACAGGATCATGCTATATATCCCAAGCTTTTATTTTTTTT